GGGTGGTTTTCCTAGATCCCATATGCCATATGATATAAAATCATGTCATATCAATATTATTATTATATGACACATATATGAGTCATATGACATCATCGTCCAACACTGTTATTTCATTTAGGGAGGTAAAAACCTATAAGTATCATAAATTGTATATAAACATCGTTTTAAAATTATAACCATTGCCATTAACAACTTAATATAAGACCACCAGTTCCACTTGTCTTATAAACAATATATTTACAATGATTTTCCACGGATAAATTTTGGCATAAAATTTATCCTCGTTGTCTCAATTTATTCCATTATGCGTGCAAATGTATATTTCAGGCAACCATGACAAAAAATAACATTGAAAATGAGTCTCGGCAGTAGGTGCTCTACACTCCACTCCGAACTAAAGAATAAATTTTTTTTTTTTTGAAAAATACCAGGCGTATATCTTTATACTGACAGTGCATTTAGCTGTTCAGCATGTCACATTTGACGCCGATTTTCTATGTAGAGGAAAAATTTGTTGGCCAATGTAAATCTAATAAACAAAAATACAATATGAATATTATCACCGATTAATCTACGTTTTAACGGCCGATTGGTAAATATTTTTTTGAAATTAAAAAAAAAAAAAAAAATGTATATACAATTTTTTTTAAAGATGATGAAAACTGATAATAAAATTATAATGATGTATCCATTTGATCGGATTTGACAGGTTGGCCTACTTCTTCGTCAGCTAAAATGTCAGTCAGGGGCCTGGCTTGCTGTTTGATAATTAATATTAATAATTGAATTAAGCACAGGTAAATTTTATTTGGCACGTTACCTTTATGAATTTTTCAAATTCTTTATTAAACTGTTCAATCTTGGCCTTCTTGGCCATAACACGCTCTGATGCTTCCTTCTTTCGTTTTAGTTTTTCAGTAACTTCCTCCTTTAATCTTTAAATGGGAAAATGCCAGAAATTAGCTAATAACATTCGACTACAAACTATAACCCTGGTTTAGTGACATTCAATTGTCATGAACGATTACCTGATCCGTTCCTCCTTTTCAAAGTTCAATCGCTGAAGCATTCGATGATGAAGTTGCTGTTTTTCGGACGCATTTGCATCAGGAAGTGGCGCAGTTAGCCTTGGAGGAGCTTTTAACAGAAACTCTTCTTCTGATATAAGTGGCACTTTCTGATACTTTGACCTATTA